TACAGCACAAGCAAAGGAACATTACACCTGGAAAGAAACTCAAGGAGCAGACAGTAGAATGCTTTTGAGACAGTGATTTCAGAGTTTATTAAGACATTAAAAAAGTAATTTCACTGGCGAATTAATATTTCCCCTTAAATACAAAAGTGCTTGTTCTTACAAATCCTTAAGGCTCATTCTTTTACAATACAATAAAATGTTTCCCCATTCCAGAAACTGTGTGCGTGTCATGTGAATTACAGACAGAGGAAAATCTCCAAATAGCAAACACAGAGTCAATAATTTCATCATCTGTACCTTTAAATTTCACACTCTGCAGCTCCTCCTAGACAACCTCCAAGTACCGCATGAGTTCTCCGTTCTTCCTACTATCTTACTGGGATACTTCACTGCAGAATTACTCACACGGTCAATGGGGGGCTTATTTGCTGTATGCTAAATACAGCTGTGTGGGAGCCACTTTTATTTGTATGTGAGAGAGGTGTGACTAACCGCCAAGACTTTGGACTGCCGGCGTGTAGATCATTTTGGAAGTAGGCCGGGAGATGAGACCCTGGTACAGGAATAGGAGATGTGGCTTCTTGGTAAAGACCACTGAAATTTCCTTGGAAAAAAGTATTCTTGAATTTTGGTAAGATAGGCTGGAAGATTTGCTCCTTACCGAAGCTGCTGGTCTTCATTAATTGTCTGGGTTAAGATTTTTGTCACATACTCAAAATCACAGAGAGGGCACCTAACTTGATCAGCACTGGTGTAGGTAATGCCCACACTATTTGGGTTAACAAAGTGACTGTCAACACAGGTTCTGGACTTTCTCCATAACAATGTCCAAATGCATTAACAAGAAACCCCAAACGAATATCACATAACAAAAATGAACTTGAGCTATTTTAACATAGTTAACTAGACAATGAAAACAGCATTGGACCTAGCCAATATAGTATATTCAAGGCTACAATATGTACATTTTTCACAATGTAAACTGCTGTACAGAATTGTCCCATGTAAAAATGCTTTTCAATTCTTGTTACCATCCTAAGACTGATTCCTGTACGAGAAGGTGAAGGCCTCATCATTGGCTTCTGTGGCTGCTACAGCTGCATCACTAGAAAAGTCTCATGGGAAACAAGCAGGCTCCCAAGTTGCTGATGGCTTTCCAAGACTGAGGTGTAGAATCTGCAATGGTGTTGGAGGTGACACACCAGGCATCTGACATTAGAGCACACTGAACTAGAGGTGCCAGCTCCATGAATAAACCTTCAAGATGACACAGTATAGGAAAAATATTGGAGCAACTTCAAAATTTTACAGAATCCTAAAAGCAGAGAACCATTATCCTGTAAAAGGAGTATGCGTTCCTTCACACCCCCTGTTGAGAACAGGTGAAGTCCAAGTGTCCAGCAGGTGCTCCTCCTCGTGCTGATGGACATCATGTTGTTGTCCAGGAATCTTTTTTACCTGAACGCCCAGGGTCCTAACAGGCAAGGTGTTGGGCTCCTGTAGAACGGACCTGAGCGTTGAATCGAGCTTCCTTTAGGCTGGATCTTCCAGCGTCTCCAGCCACCTTTCCTTTTCACTGGAGAAAGGCTGAGATAAGGATTTCTAGTGAGTATGAAAAGAAGGGGCTCCTTTGCCTATTTCATGATTATTTTGGTTAAGCGCCAAAGCTCTGACTTACGGATACAAGGAAGACACACTGGCCCTGAGTCTAAACCCAAGTGTCAGCTAAGAACTGGAAATGTCAATCCACCACTTAGGGTTTTGGCCCTAGTGATACGCAACACCAAGTTGACTGGTTGGGCTTTTCAGTCTTTGTTCAGATGTCGGGGTTGTTGAGTCCCTGGTTGGATATTGCAAAAGTCAATGAGGTCTCATGTTGATCTTCTCTCCTGGTACACTACCAAGCTTTTCCCGACAATTAAGTGATTATGCCTAACCCACAAGACAAAAACAAAACCATCTACGTTCTCAGAGGAGGTTTCCTCTTACCTGAAGCTCAGGTTATGATACACCCTAGTCCCTTCTGTCAGATCTCAGGTTGCAGGAACCAACCTCCCCGACAGCTGTCCTCCTCATCAACAGCTACAAAAAAATATTTCCCAGCAGAGACACAAGATTTGCATCAAGAGAACTCAGGGTTCCAGCCTACAAAGAAAAAACCATGCGAGAGCAGGACACGAGACTGTGCCAGAACCCAGGCTCTATGTCGGAGGCACGGTGTTCGGCAGGCAGTCTGTGTTCTCCTGGAAGATGACGGACATTGGAAGCTTGGATCCAGCGTTGTTTCTGCCCCTTTCCATCTGGGTACTTCCTGATTTCTTAAGGCCAAGGCTGGACAAAATAGCTTCGACTGCACTGCAGGGTATGTGCCAGCCCTGCCCCAGTGCTCTGAGAGTTGTGCCTGCAGCCCAGGAAGCATGCAAAGTGGTGATTACACAGGCAGAGGAGGGACTCCCCCATCATCGGCCCTGGCTGTTCCTGTCACCCTCCTGTGTCACGGGGGCCGGGTGGACCTAGAAATCACTAGGTTCCGCATTGCATATCTGTAAACCCCGGGGGCCTGCGGATAGAATGTATTCTTTTGCTTCTTACAGTAATGCTTCAATTCTTCCCAAAATGTCTGACCCTGTGGACCCTCATATTTGCTTGGCAAGGTGGTCCACGTGTGGAGTCATGGTTCGCACAGGGCCTGTAGGGCAGCTTTCAAGGAACAAGTGCAGCAGGGTGCTGGAAAAAGAGTGTCCCGACACCCAGTTCTTCTGCTGCTCCCCCCAGTATCAGTGAGCTCCCATACTGGAGCCCTCCTCGTGTTCCTAACTGTCCTGCTAAAGAGTTAGGACACCAGACCTGACACACAGAACTTGGAGGTGCAAAACCCCAAGGAGGAAAAAAGGAAGCCAACTCACAGACAGGAGACCATTCTGGGCTCAGCAGAAAGCCCTGGGAACTCCAGGGGATTAATAATCAGCTGCTGGATTACTCAAAGGAAAGTATTGATACTGCTACTTCACCACGTAAAAGGGGTCTCCATGGTAATCACTGAGCGACAAAAGCGTCTGTAACAAAAGAACAGGTTCTAGGCTTAGAGTGACACACATTTCCCCTACGTGGCCGGACTTCAGGCACTCATGCCGTATGAGCAAGGGAAGACAGACTCAAAGGCTGTTCTGTAAAGTCAAACACTCAGAGTTTTTCCTTGCTCATTTGGGAAGAGGTCGTAAGTCCTGGAGAAAATCAAGTTTTGTCTTAATGAAAAACGCAAAAAACCCCACAGAACAAGAAGGAAGCGAGATACCGTAACTACTTTTATAATCCAACGGCATTGCTTGAAAATGCTCCACACTGGTGCCATTTTACATCATGTCTGGATAGAAATATTTCCTGATCAGCGTCTCCCATTTTAAAAATTCCGAGTCCTTGATTTAGCTTTTCAGGCCTCCTCAGGACTTCTTGCTGCTTCAGGACAAATGCTGGTATTTGTGTTGACTTGCAATTAGTGCCTTGAATTCACTCCTCAGATCAATGTCTTGAAAATTGGCTTTAAGAGGTGGATTTTTAAGTAATGCACAGGGATTTAATCCCCTGCTTCCCATTATTGTAAGAGCTGTGAGTCTAAATCCCCTTGCAACTGACCCAAAATTTACCCTCTGCTGCCTCAGAGTGCCAATTAAACAGTGAAAACCCAAACCATGGTCAGATATAATTAGTTTGAGAACAGAGTTTTACCATTTTGCTCATGCCAAGCAAATTAACCCCTCTGATGGCACACACAGAATCATCTGGACAAAGGGAACACCAATTTCAAATCTAAACATGTCTCATGCTATTTGCCAGGATGTTGCAATATTAAAACACCGTGCTCTTTGGGCAGTGTGGGCAAACGAGGAAATAAACTCTGGCTGAAAATGACAGCAATTGAAGTATATACAGTTGGCTTTCCCCCCTCCATATATATATATATATATATATATATATATATATATATATATATAAAAGTCTTCCAAGACACTAGTTGATCCAGGTTTCATAAAAAAAAATGTGTTACTTCTTAAAAATAATGACTTGGATAAGAATAAGACTTCAGTTGTGCAGCAAAAACCCCTAAGAGAAAGTTCTTGTGTGAAGACTGCTGGGTGTTTTTAACCCACTCTGGAGTATCCAGGTCAGTGGCCCCTGAACAAGCCAAGCCAAGCCAGCCAAGCCAAGCCTGGCCAACTTGTGGGATGAGGTGGTCCCTTTGGTGACCTAAGGCACCTGACCCAAGGCAGGGTTTGGCCACATCCCACATCCCTCTGCTCCACTCATAAGGACTCGACAACTGCCTATGTGGAAACAGACCCTTTGTGCATTTCCTCTGTCCACACTCAGCAGTGTGCAATGGTGTAGCAGGGAAAAGACAAGCTACGTTAGAACCTCAGGATCGGGGCTGGACAAGGTGAAGTCATTTTGCTTTTGTTGTTATTACTGCTTCTGTGGTTTGGGGAGAAGGGGAAGGAACAGAAAGGGAGATAAGGGTGAAAATGAGGTTAACAACCAACAAAAACCCTCCCACAGAGTGGCTACCTCACTCCAAGGCCCTGCCATCTTCATCAGTTTGAATTCCTCTTATTCGACTCAACCAAATGTTCCAAGTGTCACTGGGCCATGTTGGCCTGCGTTGCAGAAGCTTGACAAGTCAGCCAGGGAATTCACTGCGGCATTAAGGAACTGTGAGTGAAAGTGTCCCAAGGGTGGCAGTGAGCAGGTGTTCACACAGCTGTCAGTAGGAAGTTCCCAAAAAGCTTTCAACTGGGCACTCTCTGGGACACCAGAGGCTGTGTGCATGTGTGTATGCATTGAGATATGGGAAAGACAAGCATAAATCGCTGTTGTTAGAGAAATCCCTTCTTTCCCCAAGAAAAATATCAGGCTTATTCATGAGAATCTATGGGTGCTACACTGAAAACATTTGTGAAAACAACAAGGTTACTCCTAAAGGCATGATGAACTAGGAGCCAGAATACGGAGAGGAATGTCTTTTGATTCTCCAGTTTCCTTATAAAAATATACACAAAAATTCATGGACATTTTGTACGTACAACTCGATTTCTCTCATGTACAACATAAATCATTTAATGTAACATTTGCAACCTTAGAAAGGCAGACATATTTAATCCAAGTCCGTTTATAAATCCCAATGTCACATGGATTAAAAACTGCAGATAAATTAAGTCACAATAATATCCTGTACATGCATTAAGGCTGGTGATTGCTAAAGTCTCTTGGGTATCTACAAATAGGAAAGCACACGCAGATTACTGGGTCTGAAGGGTGTCTACATCATTAAAAAAATCTTGCTTTTTTTTTTTTGGTGATACAGATTTCAACAGTAACTCTGGAAAACTGTGAAAAATGTTATTTAAAAATATATATGTATATGCTACTGCACAGTTTCAAAGATGTGATTCATAAATAATGTTGGCTGCACTGATTCATTTTTTCTAAACAATTACTGCACTTCCAAGGTGATGAGAACACGCAGTGACTTATACTCAAGGTTAGGCACTAGTAATATCCGTCAGGCGTACTACAGTTTCATGTTAGCTGTATTGTACATATATATTTTTAAATGTATGCATTTATACAAACTGTGTATGTTACGTATGGGGTGTCAGAAATGTACACATCACTGTTATATAATACACACATCATTGTTGTACATAGCAGGATGAGTTTTAGTGCAGAAAGTCTCATTGCATTGCATTCCACGTGTTCAACCTAGTACACAATTTGTCAACTCTTCAGATTATTTTTTTTCCAGTACATTCCCTCAAGATAGTGGGTCTAAGTGGGTCCATTTGCATTACTTGAAAGTTTCTGGAAATATGCTGTAACCAAACCTCTCTCTCCAGGCATGATTCTGAACATGACTCCCGTCTGCGTGGAGCAGGAATGAATGCCAAGCTGTGGCTGGGGACATATTTGGCCTGCTCTCTTTGAAAGAGAATTTTAACCCGATTACAAAGGATGGCATCCACTCAGGTCATGACAGGAGAAGGTCAGCTGAACGTGTGCTGAGTGTCTGAGGACAGACGGAGTCTTCAAATAGAAAAGAAGTGAGAGCAAACATTGGTTGAATGGCAGGACTCACTGGAAGGAGACACATCCGACCATCAGTCGTGATCGTCCCCGGGGGATGGGGCAACCACAGATGTAGATAATTTACTTTCTACACTTCTGCATTGCTTGACTTTTTACAATGAGCAAAGTACGACATCTAAACCTGGAGCAAAACTAAATAAAAAGAACAGGTGAGCCTTGACCTTCACAAGCAAAAATCAGAAGATGGTTTCTGACCAAAATCATCTATGCCAAACCCAAGAGAAATCCACTGGCCCAGCAAGCTCTACCGATGAGAGGAGACAGTGACAGGCCTGGCACGCTCTGGGCAGCCCCCAACACAACCCCACGACACAAGACATCTGGTTGGGAACCACGGGTCATCAGAGTATTGATAAAGACACTGTGGACACAGCCACCAGGAGACCACCTGCATATCTCAGTGGGGTTTCCTGGATAAATACATCCAGGACCCTTACAACAAAGCCTGCAACTTTACAGATGGGTGGGCAGGATCAGGAGAGCTCCCTGGGGATGTGTGACAGACCCCATCGGTCAGCCCCCTATCTGATGGTTTAAAAGTTTCATCAGAATTCAACAGGAGTATGTAGAATAGTTGCAGTTCTGCCAACAAAACAAAAAACAACCAAAACTATACAACCCAAACTTCTCACTTAAGATTCAAATTTCCCACACAGGAGGGGCTCCTGAAGTCCAAGAACAAAGGGCTGTAAGGGACACCTCAGACGGAAGCAGGTGGGTGGAAACACTTCACCTTTCCCAATGCTTGGAGGCCAAGGCCAAATACCAGCTTCAGGGCTCTTCACTTGTTCATTTCCAATGAATTCCAAATCATCAGAGTGGCTCAATCATTTGTACAGTTTTTAATCAGTGCTCAGAACTAGTGAATTATAGCAATCTTGTTTCCCACCTACAGATCAGGCTGACAAAAACGTTAACGCTGCAAGCAAAGCTGTATCAGTGAAAACACGTATCAGCATCTCGTATACAAATCTCGTGCCATCAGCGCCTTGCCAAGTGGACTGCTCCACGTATAGCATCACCTGTCTCTCTCTCTCAGACCATCCTGGTGTAATTTTGTCAAATAAGAGGCCTTAAGGATATTATTTGTTTTTTTTTTTTTTTCTGAAGTGTGGTAACAAATACCCTTTTTTGGGAAGTTGTTTTAAGAGACTATTTTACATCAAAATACATTTAATAAGACTACATCTCAGGTATGACAAGACATTATCAAAGATAGAAACTTCAGACAAAAAAATGTAAACAAGATGTCAAAAAAGTAAAATGTAAACTTAATTGGAAAAAAAACAACAACAAAAGAACAGAAGGAAGGGCAAGGGGCACACAGACCAGATGCAAGTGATATAAGCGAGGTGCACTGATCGCTGCCACCCCAAACAAAATCGCAATCAATGCAGGAATAACTTCCCGTGTACTAAGCAGCTTGCCAATCAAAGCCGGAGAAGCAGTCCCCAAACCGAAATGCAGGGAAGGCCCGCCGTGACCCAGTCTGCATGAAGAGTGAGAGAGAATCAGACGGTATTGTAACAGCAGACCACCCTCAGCCTGATGAGCAACAGATACAGGCTCCCGGTGATGGGACACTCTAGGTCCACATCCCCATGTGGCCAAGGCAATTTGTAAGACAGCTATTGTAGAAATGAAAGACTTGCAACACTTTGGCTTACGAATGACACATGGCTTTGCAGCCACGGGGCCCCGGAGGCAGGGAGAAGTGCCTGTGGCTGCAGGCTTTACTGTCCCAGGTGCAGGAGACCACACTGTCTTAACCGAGTCGTTGTTTTCATGTTTAATTTTCAGACACCGAGTTTTTATCCAATCCTGGTGTCCTTTTCGTACCGTTTTGGGGGCGGAGTAGGGAAGCCTTGTAGGAGCAGATCCATTTGCTTGTAAAGCAGTTATCCAACGAGGATGTGGCACTGGGGCAGGGTCGGGGGCGGGGTGTAAGGGAAAGGGCAGGGTATTTGGTAACATGCAAACCTGTAAAGGCCTGGCACAAAAATAACCAAATGTTTTCATGTGTCAATCACCCATGGATACAAGCCAGTCAAAAAAAAAAAAAATCGGGAACAGTAAGTATTAATACTGAAAGTAATCAAGAATATAAGAGCTAGGGTCATCTGAAGCAGCAGGCACGCTCTGGGTGTGCGGTATTGCACCTGCTGACCTAACCCGGGAGATTTTGGTTGAACTTTCTAGGAAGTCATGGTTTAGCATTGAAACAGAAAGTGTGTGTGTGTGTGTGACTGCGTGGATGTATGCATGTGTGTGTTTCCTTCCATCAGGAACCTCTGATCACTCTGTCTAGCCCGGAGTCACGGAAACTAGATAGAGTGTGTGTTTTGAAGAGCTGTACCTTCACACACACACACACACGCACACGCGCACACTGAGAGACGGCTTCTTGTACACCCGCACATACAAACACACACGCCCTGGGAAAAACCACTGCTCGATGCTGCGGAAACTGTTCACCACCGCTTGGTAGCTGCTGTGGCTGGGAATTTCAGTAGCACAGTGTCCAGAAACAGTGAGCTGTCCGTGGGGACGAGAGCCCAGCCCCGCTCCAGGGCGAGGGCCCTAGGACAGGTGGGTGCTGTTCCGAAGCCAGTGCAGGCCCTGCTGGGAGTACTGGACCAGGTGCTCCATGCTGCTGTGCAGGGTGACAGGCCCCATGAGCAGATCCAGGTCGTTGAAGAATTCTGGGGACAGAGAGAACTGTTAAGAGTGCCACCCATGCTGCTCTGAGCTCAGGATCCGAGTGACTTAGGAAAAAAAAAAATCCCGTTCAAGTTCTCTGCACAGATCAAGGATTCTGTGTGTCGTCACGTGTCTGCAGCATTCCACTGAACAAAACCAAACCAAAGGGGGCGGGACTCACCCTCCAGCCAAATAATTAACTGAGCGGGATCTGCCATTTGTAATTGAAGTGAATAATGTCAACGTAGCCAAATGGCAAAGAAAATCCCAATTCTCAGACTGCATTCTCCCAGCGCAGTAACATTCCCTGTGCTCAGTGTCAATGCGGCTCTGTCATCCCTTATCCTGCGCTCAGGCGCTGCACACGCTGGGGCCTAACAGTGAGTCCAACTTTGGGGAGGCTCTGGGTTCCTGCGGGCAAATCTCAGCCAGGTGCTGAGCCATCTCTACTGAAGGTGCTGAGTCATCTCTACTGAAAGTCCTGAGTCATCTTTACTGAAGTGGGCCTTCTAGCTTCTGGAATGTTCTCTGTGTTTGCCCTTTCATGAAACAAGGCATCTTGTGGGGGCAGGGCAGGAATGGACCCCAGGTGGGCTCAGCTCAGTGACTGATAAAGACCGACAAGGTCATGTGGCCACTCTGCTGGCACAGGGGGGTCACTGAGTAACAGCAGTCGGAATCTGGGGCACATTGTACAAAGGTGCACACGAACGAGGGCACTTGAAGAAGCGCAAGGAAGGGGCTGCTGTTGTGGCCCAGAGTTAGGCCACAGCCTGTGACGCTGGGTGTGGGTTCGGTCCCAGCTGCTCTGCTTCTGACCCAGCTCCCTGCTAATGCGCCTGGGAAAGTAGCAGAAGATGGCCCAAGTGCTTGAGCCCCTGCCACCCACGTGGGAGACTTGGATGGAGTTCCTGGTCCTTGGCTTTGGCCTGGCCCAGCCTCAGCCATTGCAGCCATTTGGAGAGTGAACCAGCAGATAGAAGATCAATCTCTGTGTCATTTTGCCTTTCAAAGAGATCAATTTTATATAAAAAAAGTTATGGGAAATGGAATTAAGGAGTAAGTATATTTTGGTGCAAATAATTTTTGAAATCCATGCATATTGAGGGGGTCTTCAAAAAGTTCATGGAAACATATATTATGAAAAAACCAGGTCTGATTTCAAATAAACTTCTTCTAATTCTGTTGTCCATGAACTTTCTGAAGTCCCCTCATAAATACAGATGGAGTCCTGCTGGGGGAGGGGAGGGGAGGAGAGGAGAGGAGAGGGGAGGAGAGAGGAGGAGAGGGGAGGAGAGGGGAGGAGAGAGGAGGAGAGGAGAGGGGAGGGGAGGGGAGGGGAGGGGAGGGGAGGTGAGGGTCAGGAAGACTGTTGCAGGTGGCTGGGAAGACAGGCATGGCGGGGATCTGGGAGCGAGGAGGAGGAGAGGTGGAGCTGAGCTTGCCCTGGCACACGGCACTGAGCTCTCTGTAGCGTGGCCTCTCCAGGGGCTCCCAACCTGCATGTGTGTATTTCTATACGTTCGTCCCCTCTGGTTTGCTCCCCTGGCCCTTTCAGGCCCTCGGCCAGGCACTTCTGGAAGCGCTGTTCCACGCCTGCTCCTCTGGCGGGTCTGCTGGCCTCTGACTTCTGTGGCTCTCCCACTGGACTTCCAGGGTGCAGCAATTCTGTCCTGCACAGTGCTACACTCTCGGGCTCCACCTGGGCCAACCATTGCTCACGTGGACATCCTGCTCTTGTTCTCAGAAGCTAACACTCCCATGGGGACACTGGTAGCAATTACTGGCCCCAAAGTGAGCTCGGGTTTAGCCTCCCCCTTGTTGCAGATATGAGAGGAGTAAAGTGGTTAATCTTTCAGGAGTAGAGTTAACAGTGTTGATCAAGATGTTGCCTTACATAATTTATACTTATTGACCCACAACTCCCTCCTAAGAAAATAAGCAGAAATGTGGTGATGACTTCTGTAAGAATATTTATCACAACGCTGTTTGCCACAGTAGGAAAAAACTGGAAGCAGCCTACAGTCCAACAACAGGGACATGGTCCGAGAAATGGCACTTGACTGCTACATAGCCATCATGTTCCGACAGTATTAAAGAACCATGATAAAGGGTAGGTTTAAAATGTTTCAAATTTAATTTTTTTCAGAGAAATTGAGGAGAGAGAGGGAGGGAGGGGAGGCAGAGAGGGAAACAGTGAGAGAGAGAGAGAGAGAGAGAGCACACGAGAGAGAGTGCTCCCTCACCCACTGGTTCACTCCCCAAATGCCCACCATGGTTGGGGCTGCGGTGGGTATGCAGTCAGGAGCCAGACATGTAATCCAGGTCTCCCAGGCAGGTGGAAGGGATGCAATCACTTGAGCCATTCCTGCTACCTCCCAGGATCTGCATCAGCAGGGAGACAGATGAGGGTATACAAACCAGATACTCCATTATGGAACATGGTGGCATCTTAGCTGCTACGCTAAACACCATAAATGGTGTTTTGGAATTAGTGACATGAGAAAGTGTCTGATAAATGCTAATTGAACAGAAGATACACAGTATGATCTTACTCTGGTAAGCATAGCGCACATTTGGGGAAGAAAGACTAAAACTGGTAGAATGTTAACAGGAGTTACTTTTGGTGATAAGATTACTGCTGATTTAAAAACTTTTTTTGCTGTAGCTTTCTATTTGTTTTTAAAGATATATTTATTTATTTGAAAGGAAAAGTTACAGAGAGAGAGAGAGAGAGAGAGGGAGGGAGGGAGAGAGAGAGGGAGGGAGAGAGGGAGGGAATCTTCCACCCACTGGTTCACTCCCCAAATGGTCACAACAGCCAGGGCTGGGCCAGGCTGAAGCAAAGAGCCCAGAGCAATTCTTCCTGGTCTCCCCTGAGGGTACAGAGGCCCAAGCACTTGGGCCATCTTCCGCTGCTTTCCCAGGCACAGTAGCAGGGAGCTGGATGGGAAATGGAGCAGCCAGATCTTGAACCTGCACCCATATGGGCTGCCCACATCGCAGGTGGAGTCTTAGCCTGCTCTGCCACAATGCTGGTGCCTTGGGAGTTTGCACTAGGTCTTGAACTACAAATGTAGCCACAGTAAGTGTCTGTTACTTTTGTAACTAGTAAAAACCAATGTTATTTTGCGAGAGCACATAGGGATGGGTGTGTGGTACATTGGTTAAGATGCCTGCAGGGATGCCCGTGTCCCATACCGGAGAGCCTCTTTTGAGTGCTGGCTCCTCTTCCAATCCCAGCTTCCTACTAACGTGAGCCCTGGGAGGTAACAGGTGATGACTCAAATATTTGGGTTGCTGCCATCCATGTAGGAGATCTGGATGGAGTTCCTAGCTCCTGGCTGTGGCCCGGCACAGGCCTGACTATTGCAGGCATCTAGACAGTGAGCCAGTGCACGGCTGCTCTCTGTCTGTCAAGGACACCCTGCCTTTCAAATAAAATGAAAATAAGAAAAAATAAATATAGCTACATGTAAAACACTCTCTTTTCAATTGTAAGCAGCTGGTGCTTAAAGGCTTTTAACATTCTCATTCATTCATTCAATGTTTCAAGCTCTAACTGTGTTCCAGGGATTGTGCTAGGTTTTTTTTTTTTTTTTTTTTTATTTATTTATTTATTTATTTGAGAGGCAGAGTTACAGAGAGATCTTCCATCCACTGGTTTACTCCCCAAATGGCTGCAATGGCTGGAGCCGGGCCCATTCAAAGCCAGGAGCCAGGAGCTTCTTCAATGTCTCCCACATGTGTGCAGGGGCCCAAGCACTTGGGCCACATCTTCCACTTCTTTCCCAGACCATTAGCAGAGAGCTGGATGGGAAGAGGAGCAGCTGGGACACAAACCTGTGCCTATACGGGATGCCAGTGGCACAGGCAGAGGTTTAGCCACAGCGGCAGCCCCTATGCTAGGTCTTAGGACTACAAAGATGAATAATACAAGTACCTTCAAAAGAGCTTACTGTCCAAAGGGAAAACACATGTGTGTATATCTGTACCTGTTATCTGCACCAATACCCGCACACCTCTATCCACACCTCTAGCTACATCAGTGTCACACCTAAAACTCTGCTGTTGTCTGTAGTCCCTGAGTGAGGGGACAGGTCAGGAAAGGTGTCACCCAGCAGGTGCAGCTCCTGCTCCCTCTCCTTGGATGAACCAAGAAAACTGGAGAGTGGTGATGCCTGTGGGCCAGTCCGTCTCCCCAGCCAGGGAACCTTGCACACCTTCTGCCCCACTCCGCGCCCCCACCCCCCACCAGCGGTGCACCTACCTCTGTTTTCCTTGGCCAAGTTGTCGGCCATCTCCCAGTAGTCGTAGCTGTGCAGAATGCTGTTGGTGATGCTGACGTGGTTGGCCGCCATCTGGTGGATGCGCTGCGGGATGCTGATGATGGTGGTCGGGGACAGGGAGCTGGCGCTCGAGAGGCTGCCCTGAGACCCCACGGAGCTGGTGGGAGAGGGGTTGGGAGACATGGGGGATGGGGTTCCAGTGCTCCTGGAAGGGGAGAGGCAGAGAAACCAGAGTGGAGAGGCCCGGAGCAGGCGCAGTGGGGCAGCCCCTGGGGACAGTGAGAGCACCATGCATGGCCCTGCTCACCAATGGGTTACTTACTTTCCACTGGTGCTCCATGGGGACGGGGCCTGGGCGGCTTTTGATGAATTCTGCAGGAAAATAAAAACAGAGACGGTGAGTGCGGTGAGCTTAGGGGTCAACAGCGGCCAGTCAATGCGCGTGTGGGAGACGTGAGTGTTGAGGACTTCGCAGTCCCCACGCGGATTCAGAGACACTGGATGCGGGGCTCCACCAGGGCAAAGCTCCCTGCTCCTCCTTTCAAAGCAAGTCAGGGCAGCTGCCGGGGGCCCCACAGCGGCTAACGTGAAAGGCTCGGCCCACAGCTTGGGTTTCTACGTGTACATTTTAGATTCCCAATCAAAACAGAATCTTGAGAGCCTGTGCAATCCTGGCCCAGACTAACTGCTTTCCTTTTCTGAAAAGGAACAAATTAAATATTTGAACGGAGGGATTATTTGCTGGAACTATTGATACACATTTATTTAATGCCTGCAAAGAGACAAGCCATTGAATTCTATCGAGTTCATTTGTTAACTTTTAAAATTATCTGTCTTCAAAGAAGATGCTGGTGAACAGTCCTACAGGAAGAAATTAAAGTAGGCTCCCTTGACAGACAGGATGGCCGAAAATTCAGATATACCCAGAGATGCTGATTTAGGGTGTACATTGCATGAGCCAGGTGTTTACATCAGGCTTTTAAAATTGTGTCCACAGCAAGGAGAACGTCCCCTCTGAGAACCCTAGAATATCTTTCTGGAGAGAAGTCTACTGGGCTGTGAAGGGGGAAAATGATCTTTGTGATGCATAAATACGTACATCTTGCCACTGTTGATGAAAAATACACTAAAAATCAGCCTTTGATGAAGGGGAAAGACAAACGGCTCCTGGAAGGGACATGGCCAGGAGTGGGGAGGTTGGGTTCTCCACCCACTCTGCACACTCATGGGCTGCCTACACACACCCCGAGAATGTCTTAGATCCCTTAAAAGTTGTCATAACCTCTTGTGGCTCTCAGAATGCAGCTTCCTTTTTTATTGCAGCATTTTTTGATTGGAAGGCTTCTCTTTAGTATGAGCTCTTAGATTTTCTATTTCTGAAAACTACTGATCGTGACTCTCGGGGTGTGAAATCAAGGGAGGGCTCAACACCAGTGCAACGCACGACGCACCATGGGTCAAGACATGATCTCCTTCGCTTAGCACCTGGTGACTGTACAGGCACAACGAGGAAGGCAGCAGGGCACCCACAGTGCCATGGGGCCCAAGATAGCGCAGTCATCAGAGATAACTTTCAGGAAGTAGAGGCTGGGGATTCGAGGACCTGCAATGATGGCTGTGTAGCTGCAAAGGGGTGGCAGAGGCAGGCATGGTGCAAAGTTCTCATTTCTCTAGAGAAATAGCCCAGAAATCTCAAACAAATGACTAACTTCAGGTTCACCTTACAACGGTGCATTGGAGAAGGGGCTTTGCTCTTTGCAAAAATTCTCCCAGTGAAAGGAATTTTACTCCCTGAGACAAGCAGGCTTTGGCAATGCTTACTCTTGTACTTGCACGTTGCTACTGCCCTAGTGCCTCTGAGTTTCAACACAGGGTTTCTATCATTTTAAATAACCCCAACCTCTTTTAAAAAGTAAACGAGCTACTGGAGAGCAGGAGGAAGTGGCTCGAAGTTAGCTACTTCCCAGGGAAAGAAGCTCTGCGTGAATGGAGGAATTGATGTCTGCTATAAAGACGAATTTCCGGCCAGCGCCGCAGCTCACTAGGCTAATCCTCCGCCTTGCGGTGCCGGCATACCGGGTTCTAGTCCCGGTTGGGGCGCTGGATTCTGTCCCGGTTGCCCCTCTTCCAGGCCAGCTCTCTGCTGTGGCCAGGGAGTGCAGTGGAGGATGGCCCAAGTGCTTCGGCCCTGCACCCCATGGGAGACCAGGATAAGTACCTGGCTCCTGCCATCGGATCAGCGTGGTGCGCCGGCCGTGGCGGCCATTGGAGGGTGAACCAACGGCAAAGGAAGACCTTTCTCTCTCTCTCTCTCACTATCTGTGGGGAGCAACTCGGACTAGACTAAGTTACTGGAATTAAGACTTATTCTATGCATCTGCTCTCCCACAATATGGCGCTGGGAGAGGAGGAAATAGCTTCTACGCAGCTGCCTCTTGCCAACTTGAGTGATGACCTCCAGGAGCTGATCCTGCTCCTGATTGGAGGAGAGCAGCGTACTCGGCGTGTGGGCAGCCGAGTTGGGATTGGCGGAAGAGGACTATAAAGGAGGAGAGAGACAACATGCACCAGGAACATCTAGGGGGAACATCTATCTGAAGGAACACGTGTGCAGCCCCCGAGAGAGCCGGCCGGTGGTGTGCCGCTCCCCCGCGGAAGTGGGGAATGTGGCAGGGGGAACTGCCCTTCCACGGAGGTGGAAGGGACAGTAGCCAACCCGGGAAGAACCAGCAGCAAACCCGGGGAGGGCCGAGCAGACAAAAGAACAACGCAGGGTCCTGTGTCGTTCCTCTGCAAAGAGGGGGAGCGACATAATGGTGCCATGACTCGGATATGAAGCCTAGGCAGGGTTTAGTGTCGTTCCTCCATGAAGAGGGGGAGCGACACTATCCACTCTGCCTGTAAAAAAAAAAAAAGACGAATTTCTTAGGACACTGCCATGAGTGCCTGAACCTTCTTTCTCTTGAGGCCATACAAGTACTCAGACAAGAAGAGGGAGACATAAATTAGATGGGCTTGCAAGGACCATTCTGAGCCCAAAAGTCACAGGTGTGTCATATAGGGCTGGAGACCAGAGGTGGCGTGGACCAGCCCCGAAGCAGGGGTTCTCAAGGATGCCCTTGACAGTTAGCTCAATGCAAGGGAGTCTTTTGCTGATACACCAGGCAGCACCTTGAAATAGTCGATCAGTGCTTTCGAGTACTTGACAGCATGGTCCCTCTTGAGTCGAAACATCCGCCAGTACAGGAGAGCCAAGCATCGGTAACTGCAGCAGAGACAGAAAAGGGGCCCTTAGAAGATGACAAATGTGTTCAAAAAACATCACATGCCCAGGCACTCCGTGATTACACGGTTATGTATGCAAAATCTATCTGTAAGCTCATGGATGTCTGTGAGTACCTGTCCAAGGACTACAAGGAGGTACTTGATAAATATATTTACTGTTTGATCATTTCATGGAAGCTCTATTAGGACCTCTTTGTTGGGTGGCAAAGTCTGGCCGCTGTCTTCTCTGACCACCAGGGGGCAGTCTCTCCCCATGAGTGGCGCAAGGGACTTCTGGCCTCCTGGGCCAGCCATTGGTTCCCTTTGCTTTTTCATACTTTACTGGAGTAGGAAGGTACTTTCAAAAATACATGGAAAACAGAATTAAAAAGCAAGCTTACTTTGGTGCAAAAAATTTTTTGAACTCCATGTGTAACTTTTTTCTAAGAGGCATTTTCCATGAATGAATATTTTGAAGACCCCCCCCGCCCCATTGAATGAGTTCAAATCAAGTCACAGATATGAAAAAGCACTGAGAACAGTGGTCATCGTATTACTCCCCGTGGTATTCTGTAGTGGTTTACCTGCTAGTATGGCACCTAACACAACAGTAGTCATTAACAGTCATTATTTATCTCAATATGGAACTTGGAGAAAGGAGTGTAGCCAGCCTTTCCCGAGACCTCTTCTCTCCTTCTGGGTGCTTGTCACCCAGAATTACTGTCACCACTAAGATCCGGCACTGACACACCAGATCCTGTGACACGGTGTCAACGCTCCAGACTCCAGCTGATGTGATGCTGAGAGATAACCCAAGACTCTTTCGTGTGTGTTGCTGCTGAACTTTGTGAGACTTGATCTGACTTCCGAATGGACAACAAAATTTTTTTTTTTTAACAGAAGGAACCCATGAGAGATGTCCTATGACATCGGGAGTAGGGTGACAGGTCCCAGGGAGATGCCACAGGCAAAATTATTATTTTTATAATTACAAAATCATTATCATTGTAGTGATAAATATAGAAAGATATTGAAGGATGTGATTTTATTACTGTGCGGAGAACTTTAATGCATCATCATGCTGGAGTCATACTAATCCCCCCTTGACAACCAAACACATGAATTATTTTGATTGCATTTAAAATGTTAAACACAAGAGAAATTCCACTCATATTCAAATTGTTAAAACATAGACCCATCTGATTTTAAAATACACCCTCAGGCCGGCGCCGCGGCTCACTAGGCTAATCCTCCGCCTAGCGGCGCCGGCACACCGGGTTCTAGTCCCGGTCGGGGCGCCGGATTCTGTCCCGGTTGCCCCTCTTCCAGGCCAGCTCTCTGCTGTGGCCAGGGAGTGCAGTGGAGGATGGCCCAGGTGCTTGGGCCCTGCACCCCATGGGAGACCAGGAAAAGCACCTGGCTCCTGGCTCCTGCCATCGGATCAGCGCGGTGCGCCGGCCGCAGCGCGCCGGCCGCGGCGGCCATTGGAGGGTGAACCAACGGCAAAGGAAGACCTTTCTCTCTGTCTCTCTCTCTCTCACTGTCCACTCTGCCTGTCAAAAAAAAAAAAAAAATACACCCTCATACAGAAAACATACAGAAAACAATTATCCTTGTGTAATTGACCTGTCCCTCTTCAACCTCTGTGAGTTCAGATCACATGCAAGGAATGATCAGGACTCTCCTGGGTCAGCATTACCGGCCTGGGCTTTGGAAGTGAGAAGACGCGCATTTTAGCAGCTGGCTTGCAATGATGGCGTCAGAGTCTGGGGATACCACATCAGGCTGAGATGACACACTCACCATAACGCGGCCAGCTGCTTGTCCTCTGGTGTGGCATTGGGACCTGAGTGAGTTTTTAGTCTCATAGCATACCTAAAGAAGAAAGAAAAAAAAAAAAAGCAAAGAAATAAAAAAACAAAGCCTTCTTACTAACAACAAAACCTTCCCTGGGTGGTGGCATAGTGCAGTGGGTTAGACTGTTGTGTGGGACGCCAGCACCCAGACCAGAGTGCCTGGGATCGATTCCTGCCTCCGCGTCTGATCCATCTTCCTGCTAATACTCCTAGAAGGCAATGGATGGTGGCCCAGGAACTTGGGTCCCTGCCACCCATGTGGGAGACCCTGAGTTCCAGAATCCTGGCTTCTGCCCGACTCAGCCCTGGCTGTTGCGGGCATTTGTGGAGTGAACTAGTGGAGGGAAGATTTCTCTTTCTCCTTCTCTCTCTGTTACTCTGCCTTTCAAATTAATAAAAATGAATGCACAACCACTGAAAATATAAACAAAACCTATCCTAGGATGGTCGTTCTCCCTGCCCGATACTTACCAGTACTTGCTGACAATCCTTTCTGAAAAGCTAGCTGAGCCTGCTCCATTTTCCCCACGCATTACGTTGTCGTGATGGCTACAACAAAACGACTTTGATGATGCCTACCTGCTTTCTGCTTGTTAACGGTACAAGTTCAAATGCTACAGAGGGCTGAGAGTGCTACCAGCTCAAGAACCACTGATGTGTCCAGTAATGGGTCCATTTTCCCAAATGCTGATTTATGGCTGAGCGGCTGACAGAGGGAGGCCAAGGTCAATCCCTCTGGGGTTTTCTCGGGAAGAATTCTCACCCCTGGCACTCACGAAAGCCCAGACTGACCCCTTTTTTCTTTGCTGCACAACTCTTGTTTGGACCATGGTCTGCGTGTCCTGGGAGCACTTTCAGTCTATATTTGTTTCCATGGATGTGTTAGGAGAAACTAGTGGCTTTTATGGACGGCACTGAATTCCACTTAGTTCTCTGGATCAGAGCACTGGCAATTGCTTTCTCCCAATAACATACCAAGCTATGTACGCAGACTCTTTGAGAGAGCTGAGCTAATAGGTGTGATGGCCAGAGAGTCCCAGGTTGAAGCAAAGTGTATTTATTAGTGATGCGAGCTTAGATGTGTGTATTAGAGTATTTAAGCCTCCATTTCCTTATAAAATAAGACCAATATTGCTGATCACGTGGAACTGCCATTAGGATGACCCCAGTCAGTGTGTAAGGCACCCAGCATGGTGGGCCAGTCTACTGTTGCTCTGCTCAGGAAACGATACTGTTATCACAGCACGCACGTGTGTGGTACTTCTGGATGCATCTCTGTATCATTTTCATAGTGGTTCCTCTGGGCATTACAGATACACAGATGATCTGTGATTGATTAGTATCAGCAACATCTTTCCACTTTGAGTGACCCTAGGACTGCAGAGCTACAGCCAGGGAGAACTGCAGGCACGAGGCTCAAAACCAAGAGAGCTGCTGGGTGCACCGAGCCCAGCCAAGCCACAGGCGAAAGCCTGCCCAAGGCCTCGGGGGCCCACCCCCTGCCCAAGGGTGCCCAGGCTGTGCGACATAATGCAGAAGGGGGCTGCTTTCCAGGCTCAAGACTTATTGTTTTCCTTGTTGGGCTTTGGACCGGTTTCCCCTTCTTGGTGGCCACGTCTCCTTGTTGGAATGAGAATGTCTTATCTGATGTCTGTCCCCCCGCTGAATGTGGGAAGTGGGTGGCTTGCTCTGATGTCCCAGGCTCACAGCTGGAGGGGTCATTGCTTCAGACGAATTATGCTTTGAGTCTTACCCACATCTGATTTCGATGAGACTTCGGACCCTGGAGCTGATGACAGAGTTAAGACTTCTGGGGCTACTGGGATGGAAGGAAGGTACTACATGTAGTGAAGACATGGACTTGGGGACCTGAGGGTGGAACGCTGTAGTTTCGATGTGTGGTCCCCCCACCCCTATTTATGGGTTGAAAACTTAATCCACAATGCAACAGTACTCAGAGGCGGGAGCTTTCAGAGATGGTTAGGTCTCGGGACCTCTGTCCCCACCAATGGATTAATGCCAGCCTGTCGGAGTGAGTCGATTACTGAGGGAGTGGGCTTCTGACAAAAAGAGTGAGTTAGTCCCGAGTTATTTCTGTCTCAGGCAACATCATTTGTTATGATACAGCACGAAGGCCCAGCCAGATGCTGGTGCCGTGTTCTTCCGCTTCCCCGGCTCCAGCACTGTGAGTCGAATAAACTCCTATTGTTCATAAACTGCCTCGCCTGTCGTATTCCGTGGTAGGAGCAGAACACGGAGTAATTCAGTGCTTTAGGCTCTATTCAGTTTCCTTTTTTCAGTCCATTTCCTCTCTGTTGTTCAGACTGGAAAAATTCTATTTTCTGTCTTCAAGTTAATTGATTCTGTCTTCTGTCATCTCCGTTCTATTACTGAGTCCATCCAGGGAATATTTTTGTTTCTGTTATGATATTTTTCAGTCCTGTTACTTCCATTTGATTCTTTTTTAGTAACTGCCACTTTCTGGACAAAATTTTCCTATTTTTTTGCTTACTAAAGCATTTGCATGGTGGCTCCTTTTAAAATCTTTGTTAGGTAATTCCTACATCTGACTCATCTTGGGACTGGTGGGATGCTCCTGGTTCTTGGTATAAGGAGTGAATTCCTTTTGTATCCCAGGCATTCTGGCTATGATGTTAGGAGACTCTGGGTTGTCCGGCAGTCCCCCTGTTTAGGTTTTAGCAAGCAGGTTTTAGCCTATCTGGGAGGCAGGGGTTCCAATTGCATTGGACTTTTCCTGGTACTTCTTCGCTTGCCTGGTGGATCTGGTGTCACTGCTACTCCCCATGGGCCTGGATGGTACTGTCAGTGGTGAGGTGGGGTGGGAAGAGAGGTTTGCTGGGCTGGTTCTGGTGCTGGTGGAGCTCCAACTTCCAGTGTCCCTTGGCCCCTTGTGGAGAAAGGAATTCTCCCGACTGCGGGGTCCAAGGGTGCACCCTAGGGTAGACACTGCGATCACCCTCCTGTGCTCCTGGCTTCCCAGTGTCTCCCAGCCAGGGAGACGGGCCTCAGGCTTCGTAGGCAATGTGCAGGTTTAAGTGGAAAATTTCTAACTCAGGGGAGGAAAATTCCTTTTGTCTTAGAATTTCAGGTGGTTTAAGGGATTCTGTTCATTCGGAACTACCTTCAGGCCAGACTGCTCTCCACCAAGCAAGGTTACCTGCAGCAGCGGACACAGCACACGTAGCACTCAGCACCCCAGGCGCAACTGATCGGCACCTCTGATTTGTCTTTCTGTATTTCAAGTGGGAGTGCCTTTAAACAGCCATGATCCGCCAGTTCACTGCGGGCTCAATGGCTTGCTTCTCATTCCTCAGATACTTACGGAGCAGATACTAGGTGCTGGGAACTGTTCTAAGGACTAGGGATGCATCAGCGAACAAATCAGACCAAACACAAACGCAAAAACTAATTCCAGTGCTCAACACACACATATCCTGGAATATCTGACTGCACTGAGCCTGTCCAATCTCACTCACTTAACTTTTATTTTTATTTATTTATTTATTTTTTTACAGGCAGAGTGGACAGTGAGAGAGAGAGACAGAGAGAAAGGTCTTCCTTTTGCCGTTGGTTCACCCTCCAATGGCCACCAAGGCTGGTGCGCTGTGGCCGGCTCACTGCGCTGATCCGAAGGCAGGAGCCAGGTGCTTCTCCTGGTCTCCCATGGGGTGCAGGGCCCAAGCACTTGGGCCATCCTCCACTGTACTCCCGGGCCATAGCAGAGAGCTGGCCTGGAAGAGGGGTAACCGGGACAGAATCTGGCGCCCCGACTGGGACTAGAACCCGGTGTGCCGGCACCACTAGGTGGAGGATTAGCCTGGTGAACCATGGCGCCGGCTTATTTTTTTATTCTGTCTTATTCACTGCTGAAAATACTGTACCATTTTTTAAAAATCAGAATATAGACTAGTGATGACTACACGTTGAGAAGGGTGATGGTGGGGGATAGAGGAAGGTTGGATAATGGTGACTAAAGACAGCTGGATAGAAGGATTAAGTTACACAGCGTAGGGAAGTGACTCAGCTTACGATAATTCACTACATACTTTAAGGATAAATAATAGAGAGCAGCTTGAATGTTCAAAATATTCTTGAGGAGTGCTGTGCTTTTTGAAGGTGGTATGTTCTGTGATGTCAGGATGATAGTTTCAAAGGCTGCAGAGTGTTTTCTGGAGGGAGAATGGTGTGAGACACCACGTACCATCTTCAGGTCAATGTAGACCAGGACTATAACCTGAGATGGTTAGAAATCTTCCATTTGCAAAGGCAGGACGTGGCTAGAGGGGTCTAGGTCTAGGTAGCTCAGGATCTCAGGATCAGATAAGCCTCCGACAGTGAGTTTTAGGAGGGATCATTTCACATAATGAGTGTCAGATGTTATCTGCAGCAGTTCAGCCTGCTGAGAACATAAAGCTTATTGCAAAGTTTCTCCATAGGATCAGGGGATGAAGTTCTGGCCAGCGCTGCGGCTCACTAGGCTAATCCTCCGCCTGTGGCGCTGGTACCCCGGGTTCTAGTCCCGGTCGCTCCTCTTCCAGTTCAGCTCTCTGCTGTGGCCCGGGAAGGCAGTGGAGGATGGCCCAAGTGCTTGGGCCCTGCACCGGCATGGGAGACTAGCAGGAAGCACCTGGCTCCTGGCTTCAGATCGGCACAGCGCGCCGGCCATGGCAGCCATTTGGGGGATGAACCAACAGAAGGAAGACCTTTCTCTCTCTCTCACTGTCTAACTCTGCTTGTCAAGAAAAAAAAAAAAAAGGGATGAAGTTCCCCCTACAGGTCACTAGAGGGGTGTCCAGGTGTGCACTCCCCTCTCTCCAGCCTGGAGGGCAGGTGTCTTCCGGGGGCCACTGTGAGGCACCCTTGAGAAATCATGCTTCCTTGCGAGATGTGGACATCTTAACCACACCTCCCACTGGACAGCCTGGGTTCACTTCCCACATCCTCACTCCAGCTTCTCACTAAATGGACCCCAGGATGCAGTGGTGATGGCTCAAGCAACTGGGTTCTTGCCTCCCACTCGTGTGGGAGACCTGGACTGAGTTCCTGGTCTCCAGGTTAGGCCTGGTCCAGATCCAGCTGTTGCTGGCATTAGAGGAATCAAATCTGCAGATGGAAGCTCTCTGTCACTCAAACAAACAAAACTGCTTCTGCATGCATGGGGCTCAAGTCTGGGTTTTGAAAATTCCTTCCTTCTTTCCCTTCCTGTCATCTGACAAGCTGAGCGCCAGAGACAGGCAGAGACAGAGACAGAGACAGAGAGAGACACAGAGGCAGAGAGAGAGAGAGAGAGAGAGAGAGAGAGACAGACTGCCTTCACATATCTTTTGTTACAATCTACTGTGATAACTGATTGTGGTGAATCTCTTCTTGTGTCTATCTATAAATTAAACTTTACGTAGGCACACACATTTAGGAAAAAGCAGAGTATACATAGGGTTCAGTAGCAACCACAGTTTCCGGCACGCACAGGTGGTCTCGGAATGTATTTCCCATGGATAAGGAGCGCCTACTGTATATTAACCTGAACCAGGCTAAAAGATCAGAGAGCGGCTTAGAGGTGAAGTGCGTTTAAAATCTGCCACTTCCTAGCTGGGGGAAGCATGCATGTCATGGTCCACTGAGACTCGGCTTCCCCCCTGCAGCAGTTGGGAGGCACGGAGCTGCCCTGGCTGGGCTGGCCCCCAGAGAGGGCAGAGGAGACAGGGTGTGTGATGTGCCTTGCAGAAATCTCCCAATCTGGTTTTGGGTGGATGCACACTGGTCCCCGGGAACTCACGGTGCAGGCTGACCCAGCACTCCCAGGCCTTGCCCATCTGCTCCCAGCACTTGTCTCCCTGGCGAGGACACAGCGCCTACCTGATGAGCTCCACGGTTTCCGAGTACATGGTGTAGGGAGATTTGGACTCCATGGGGCCTTGTTCCATCGCATTTCCACATTCAATAAACGACAAGGCCGCTTCGGCATAGTTCAGGGCCTTCCCAAACTTCTCCACCTGGTTAAGAGAGAGGGAGAGCGCAGTGCCTTGGGTAAGGATCACTTGAATACAGTAGCACTACCACAGAGCTTATACACTTTCTTTGGGAAACCTGACTAGTGAGTTCCAAAATCCCATCAATGGAACCAAGAAGACAAACAGTGAGGACACAGTGACCAGTCTTCCGGCATCTGGTTTCACTTTCCAGCGTTTCAGTCACTTGGGTCAAGACTTCAGTCTGGAGTACTAAATGGAGAATTCCAGAAATAAACCATTTGTAACGTTTAAATAACTTTTTTTTTTTTTTTTTGACAGGCAGAGTGGACAGTGAGAGAGAGAGACAGAGAGAGAAAGGTCTTCCTTTGCCGTTGGATCACCCTCCAATGGCCGCCGCTGCAGCCGGCGCACCGCGCTGATCCGATGGCAGGAGCCAGGAGCCAGGTGCTTTTCCTGGTCTCCCATGGGGTGCAGGGCCCAAGCACCTGGGCCATCCTCCACTGCACTCCCTGGCCATAGCAGAGAGCTGGTCTGGAAGAGGGGCAACCGGGACAGAATCCGGCGCCCCAACCGGGACTAGAACCCGGTGTGCCGGCGCCGCAAGGTGGAGGATTAGCCTATTGAGCCACGGCGCCGGCTCACGTTTAAATAACTTTTATCATGGCCTATTGTTACACACGTTCTATTTTATTAGTTACTGTTGCTACCATCTTATTGTATCTAATTTACACACTGAACTTTATCATGGAGCAAACATACCTAACAAAGCAGTTTTAGCCATCCACTGGGGATGGCTGGGAACATTTCTCCCATGGATAATGGGTGGGGATGGGGCACTACACTTCCTTCTCTATAGTTGTTTCTCAACTGGTTGCTGGTTTAAGGTGAGTCGAGTGTTACATACAGAATCATACCAAATCTAGGTTGCAACGGCCAATCAACACAGCATAGAATGTCATGGCTTCTCTCATTTCTGCTTTCCTACTTCTAATGACTCCATGTCCCTCCAGGCTATGCTAAATATACATGGAAGTTGAACGGTCTGGTTCCATGAAAGAGTTTCCATACTTTTATTTTTTTTGCATCTCCCACTTTGGCTGGTCCAGGGCCCTGGCTAGAATCTTTCGTCTTACTTATGACATCTGTATATCCTTCCCCTTCACTTTGTGTTTTCCCCTTAACAGTCTGGCCCCCACTTGAGAGTGAGAGTGTGTGGGGGCACACACATTGAAAACAAGTAATAAAAATAATTTTTGGATCATCTACAGCTGGCTAAATTTATGTTAGTTTTTCCCTACATCAGAAAGGACAATTGTGAATCAGCTTTATATTCTTAAGTTCCATAAACCTAAACTTACATATATAATTCTTGGTTCCATACATTGCTACTCTTTGTGGTTAATTACTCTAACTTCGGACTGCAAAAAAAAAAAAATCACTCCAATTTCTAAATAATTCATTCATCAACCAAAAAAAAAATCAAACCAAACCAAACCAGCGACACAATACTCTAATTATTACTCTTGGCCTTGTTGCTAAAAAAGCAAAACAAAGTTTCATTAGTGATGACACCTTAGAAGAGAAAGAGGGCAAAACTCCTTTTCATGAGCAAATCAAATTTTTAAAAATACCTTACGCATGTCAAGCAGGCTATAAAGTAATGCTTTTTGGCTAACATCTTCAGATTCAGGAGATGACTTGATTTAATAAGTATTTCCTGAAGCCCTTCACGTGCACCTGCCACACAAAAAGCTCCTTCCAGGAACATGTAACGTGCTTGGAGAGAGGAGACTGGGGAGAGCTTGCAAAACACCAGCGAGGAGTCCAGTGCAGATGACGTGGTGGCAAGGGAGCAAGTGATGGAGGCGCCAGACAGGCCTCAGAGAGGAGACCGGGAAATGACGCTGGGGAGGCCTGGGGTGACTGGCTGGATTGGGGGTATGAAAGTGACAGAGACCGCGTGAGAGAGCATGTGTGAGCATGTGCGTGAGTGCGAATTTAGCAGGTGCAAAGCTGGCTGGCATGAGCAAGGGCGTGCGTAGAGGCTGGCGCATGATCAGTCTGGCCGGCCCAGGGGTCTCGCTCCTGGGAAATAAATTGGAAAGGTGGGCCTGAATGGATAGTTCTGTTAAACCTTGGATGATGGGCTTGAGCAGAAACGCTCATGGTGCTCGGAACTTCAGGCCTGTTCTCCAACAGGAGCCAAGCACCCACCTCTCCAGGGAACCGGTGCTCCCCATCAGGCTGTGGGACTGTGTGGACTACTCTCCCTCCCACTCGGCGCCTGTGTTTTCTGACACTCAGCGGTTACTTCCCTTGCATCCCCATGTAGCTTGATAGTGGTACGAGTCAAAGTTGGAAGCATGACAGTGGGAGAGTGGTACTGTTACGGTTTCAACACCTTCACCACTGGAGTAATGACAATACTATGCTGAAAGTCATTCCTACTGCCTTATTCCTCTCCAGCCTTCTGATCTCATTTATGGATACTGGAATGACAAGGTAGGAAGGAGACCCCTGGAATGAGACATTACGATGGAAAAACCTTATAATGTCTATTCTTGCTTGAAAGCTTCAAGTTTTCTAAAGCAAGAGATTATCCAAGAAAGCCAAGTTATTCATTGAAAATATCAAATGCTGGTGACTTTAGGGTGCTCCATGCAGGTAACAGTTTCCGTGCTGTTGAGTTCAAAGCAAGCTTTCCTCTTCCAGATACACACGAGGAACACGAGGCTTTCAGAGAAAAGAACTTGATCTTGGGATTGAGCCAAAGGACGGCCATGTTAACAAGAGACAAAAATACAAATCTAGATTTAAAATAATAATCTACCAGGCTGGCATTGTGGTGTAGTGGGTAAAGCCACCACCTGCACCACTGGCATGCCATGTGGGCACCAATTCGAGTCCTGGTTACTCTACTTCCAATCCAGTTCCCAGCCAATGCACCTGGGAAAGCAGCGGAAGGTGGCCCAAGTACTTGGGCCCTTGCACACATGTAGGAGACCTGGAAGAAGATCCTGGCTCCTGGCTTCAGCACGGTCCAGCATTATGGCCATCCGGGGAGTGAACCAGTGGATGGAAGATCTCTGTCTCTCCCACTCTCTCTGTGATTCTGACTTTCAAAATAAATACATAAACAAATTTTTAAAATCTATCTGTTTATCTAAGAGGGAGAGAGGGAGAGACAGAGGACGGAAGGATGGAGGGAGGCAGGCAGAGAGAGAGAGAGAGAGAGAGCGAGCGAGTGAGCTCCCTCATCTGCTGCTCTACTCCCTGAATGTCCGCAATGGCTAGAGCCAGAAATTCAATCCAGGGCTCCCACATGGATGGCAGGAACTAAATTACTTAAGTCATCTTCCCAGGAAGCTAGAGTCTTGAGATGAAGTCAGACAGTGAACCCAGGTCCTCCCTTATGGGACACAGGCATTTTTTTTTTTTTTAGATTTTATTTATTTATTTGAAAGATAGAATAAGAGACAGAGGGAGAGGCAGAGAGGAAGGTCTTCCATCTGCTGGTTCACTTCCCAAATGGCTGCAACAGCTGGAACTGAGTTAATCTGAAGCCAGGAGCCAGGAGCTTCTTCCAGGTCTCCCACATAGGTGCAGGGCCCCAAGCACTTGGGCCATCTTCTACTGCTTTCCCAGGCCATAGCAGAGAGCTGGATTGAAAGAAGACCAGCTGGGACATGAACTGGTGTCCACATGGGATGCAGGTATAGGCTTAACTTACTACAACACAGTGTGGTCCCTGGGATAGAGGCATCTTAACCAGCATGTTAATCACTAGGCTAAATGTCCACTTTTAGATTTTCTTTTTTTTTTTTTAAAGGAAAAGAATACTACCACCCATTGAGTCCATTGGCTCTAGTGACTCTTCAAACCAGACTAAATTGAAATACTCATTTATCCAGGGCTTTCTCCTAGTCAGGCATTGTTGGTTGAAGTCACAATTTATTGGGCGATGAGCGGTTGATTGTACAAACATTTCTCCATTTAACAGACCCAGCCATCCTTGTAATAGATTTTATAATTACCCAGCTCTATTGCCCCCGTGATGGAGCTTCAGCACAGAGTTCGGAAGATCTTACCATTGCATCTGCTTTATGTTTCATCCGTTTAGCTTCCTGCATAAAATAATCGGCACTGCGAGGCCTACAAGGAGAATGAGATTAAATGTCATTATTGCTTAAGCACGAGATATTTAGGAAATATTTTCCTTTCAAACTTAAAGCACAATTGAAAAGCTCTGCTCAATATGGAATCAACTTTTTTGCATTTCCAACATTACTGCCTATATGTAAAATACTACATATTTTTCTCTTAACAATTCAAAACACACTCAATACATGCAATCCCCTTTTACAGAGGCTTTAACATGGCCCTCCAGTGTCTACTTTGTGATTGTTTTTTGATAGTACAGCTAAGGAAACAAGTGAAACCAGGTAAGAAGCTTTATTTCACACGATGTTTACACAAAACAACCTCCTTTTACTGTAAAGCCGGTAACTATGTCTTGTAATAACTGGGTGGCTGTAGTTGAGTGAGAGTGTATCCTTATGAGAGTGTCATCTCCATGCATGAACGGCAACTAGCATTTTATGGATATTTATTTAATTATTTTCAACCTGCACAGTGAGTAACGGTGTGTGATTACAATGCAGTCGTAATGAAGTTAATTGTCAAATGATATCTACCTTGTAACAACGCAAACACAGCGTGTATTCTCCTGAGTGCTGATTAGCTGCCTGGTAAACATTAACAGCAGACGTGTGCATCATTAAAGCAACAACCCTGGCCAGTGCTCTTTTGGGAGATGAAGGTAATTTATCCAGAGACTGATCTGAGTGTGTGTGTGTGTGTGTGTGTGTGTGTGTGATGACCCCAACTCATACTAAGCTACTCACCAGACAACATCTTTAAATGAGTAGTCTGATGGATTGCTTTTTAAAAAAAGCTACATCTTTTAGGTGCCATCAGCATAAACTATTTTTGTATTATGGGTCTTTACGTAATCAAAAACTTGACCCACGCATGAATATCCAACAGGAGCCAAGGCAATTAATGACACTAATTGCAGACTGTTTGACCTACTGTGGCTTGCTTATTTTGAATAGCCTTATTACTAATGGGTCTTCACCTTACTATAATGCTGGGTAGTCAGAGCATCCCTTTATCCAAAGAGATACAAATGCTTAGAAAAACAAGGCAAACTCTAACAATGGCATTGTGCTTAATCAAACAAATAAGCAAATCAGAATCAAAGCCAATAATTCATTTCAAGTCAAAACCTCAGCACAGCAGCCGGCACTGTGGCATGGCAGGTTAAGCCACCACTTGCAAACACTGGCATCTTCTATGAGCACCCAGTTTGAGTGCCCACTGCTCCACTTTCGATCCGGCTTCCTGCTCGTGCATCTGTGAAAGTATCAGGAGATGGCCCGAGTGCTTGAGCCCCAGGACCCACATGAGAGACCCGGGTAGAGTTCCAGGGTGTTTTTTTCCATCTGTACCCAGATGTTGACTAAGTTGTCTTGGATTCCAAATCTGGCACTTTCCATTCATTTCACTGTTATCGTTGCCTTTTTTTTTTTTTTTTTTTTGGGTAATAAGGTTCATTTTTTAGTGCTTCAAATTCCTAACCATATTGAGTAGAAAATGCAGAGTTCTCATAAACCTGCCCCCATCAACCTCCTGCACCAGAGAGGTGCATTTGTTACAATCAAAGAACCCACATGGATACACCATCATCGCCCGAGTCTACAATTCACATAAGCATCACTCTCATTCTCGAGTGTCCTATGGGTTTGAACCACCACTGCCACGGCCCAGAGTCTGTGTTAGCTGCAGGCCGGGGTGAGCAGGCGGAGCTGGGACTCTAACGAGCACTGTGACAGGGGATGCGGTCGTCCCGAGCGGCATCTCGGCTGCTGCACGGAATGCCTGGGTTGCACCTCTGCGTCACAGCCCAGTGCGGAAGCACAGGCCCATCTCCAGCACAGCCCAGATCTGACTCTCAGCTTCAGATGGGGCCTGCAGTCTGTCCATTCGGGAGAGGAATTTGGGTCAATTTATACATCTCTTCCTGTTGCCAAGTGCTTGTGATTTTTTTTGTTTTGCCTTTATTCTTCTGTTTTCTCCACGGCCACATCTACCCCCAAGCCCTTCTTCACTGGCTTCTACTCTGCCTGCCTCCACAATCGGTCCTGAGCAATGTTTGCAGCTTCTGCTCCAACGCCATCCTTCTCACAGATGTCAGATCAGTCTCCAGGGTCCAGGCGGCCAAATCTCAGTTGAGGTCCCCAACAATCCTGCTGCTTAACCATATCACTTATTGATCAAGGACCTTCAAAACTACAAGCAGGCCCGTTTCCTTGCTATCCCGCCAACTCGCCATGCCCATCACAGAAGCTCTGCTCAAGCTCTTCCGAGCCTGGGACGTCCTGCGGCGTGCTCATCGTGTGCTCACCGAGTGCCGCCTTTGCGCGCCCCGTGAACGGCACTGGATTCGTTCTGAGCTCAGCAAAGAGTGCTTCTTTCCGACGGGGGCAGCAACGCGACCAATGAGCCAGAGAGTGTCTCCATGGCAACTTGAAATTCTCCACATCATTATCTGCTCCACGCTCTACTATAGAAGTTGGGTCATTTTTTTTTTTTTTTGCTTGCCCTGTTCTGTAGACCTTGCCACTAATAGATTGTCATTTCAAACGCATTTCGTTTTCACGAAAGGATTCTCTTGGTAATAAGCCATGGCATTTTAGCTCTCACTAGCCTTTTAAGTCACCCTCGTGGATGGCAGGGGCTCGTGAACCCTAACGCGGGTTCTTTAATCAGGGTTGCTTTCAGCTGCGGCATTTGCATGCCTTTTTTTAAACCTGATATGAAGGCTGAGTCACAAACTCTCACAGCAGCGCACCTGGCTATGTGACATCTCATTTTCTGTCTCCATCACAGCAGTTCCAATAGTAACCTGAGACCGGAAGGAAGGAAAAGGTAGCATCTGGTGGTCATTTACGAACATATTGTTAGAATTCTGTGCCTGTAACGGAGGGCTCACTCCACTAAGCCACTGACGAGTGCCTGGTGGGCTCATTTTCTGCTTTCAGTGCTACCTAATGCCACGCTCCTAGATTAGACCATTACAAAGCCATTGGGACCCAAGGGACACTCCCCAGCTTGGCCAGCACTGCACGGATGCAGGCTACCGTGAACACATCATTTCCCACAGCGACATGCGAGTCAGAAGGAAGAGCAAACTTGTTACCACTGCGGCAGTCACGGAATGTAATTCAGCAAACATGCCAACATAAAACCCTATTAACTCAGTTTTGTGAACATGTTTTCCACTCTACCTTACTTTTTTTTTAAGTAGAAAACCTAGAGCTATTTTTTTTTGTCTGTAATAAAATCCTTCACTCACATTGTTTTGCACAGTGCTGGCACTTCAGGATGAAATATGAATGAAACTAATAAATGTTCAATTACACTTCATACACCTTTCTGGCTCTGTATCTTGGGCTCTTAGGGAATGGGGCTTGAGTGATCTCAAGGCCACACCTTCACCACCTGTATCTTTGTCACAAGAGCTGTCTGCAACAAAAGCCATCAGAACACTGGATTGGAAGCAAAGGTTTCTTTTCGTCCCCTTGCCCACAACTCCCACCTACAAACGGCCTTGGTTCTGAGCAAAAGGGTGCAGGCTCCCCAGCATCTCTTCCGCCTGGGAGTACTGAGGCAACCAGGCTCTTTGTTCTGCTCTGTGGCTGTGATGGAGCGGGATGGGCTCCCAGGGAGAGGCTGGCGGGCTCCTTTCTGTATTTCCCACCTCTGTCTGTGAGAGCCAGCCTGTTTTGTGAAAACTAGCAGGATGAGACGGCTCTGTGCGTCTGAGCAAACAGCTTCCTGGGCGCCATGGACTCCTGGATTTTTTTTGGGGGGGAAACTGAAATCCCAATCAGCACATAGTTAACGGTACTCCAGGTGAATCCATCGTCCTTGGATGATGGGTCTGATGTTGTCTTGTGAATCCAGGAGGTTTCACCTTGTCCAAACTTGGAGGTATGGAGTCTTTAAAGAGTTCATAGAAAACGCGCATCATGAAGAAACTATGCATGAAGATAGAGATATAGATGTGTGTGTGTGTGTGTGTGTGTGTGCGAGAGAGAGAGAGAGAGAGAGAGAGAGAGAAAGAAAGAATCTCCCATCTGATGATTTATTCCTCAAATGCTTGCAAGAGCCAGAGTTGGGCCAGGCTGAAACCAGGAGCCCGGATCTCAATCCAGTCTATGTGGGTAGCAAGGATCCAGCTACTTGAGCCATCGCCTGCTGCCTCCCAGGGCCTGCACTGGCAGGAAGCTGGAATTGGGAGTGGAGCCCATGCATTCTGGTACAGGATGCAGGTATCCAAAGAGGCACCTTAAGTGCTGTGCAGAATGTCTGCCCAGATTTCAACAAATATGTTTTAGCAGCAAAATAAACTCATATGTTAATTTCATTTTCCACAAGCTTTTTCAAATTTCCTATAGGAGGATGTATAAGAAGTCATTCTGTTTTTTTTTGAAGTATTTTTCCCCACATTTTTATACTATTAAAAAATACATACACGTAAGAAGTCATTCTTTAAAAAAATTTTTTAACTCATTTCATTTGTTTGAAAGGTAGAGAGGTAACTGGAAGAGTGATGGCGGAACTCAGATCAGAGGTCCTGGGTGCTGGTGCTGGCTTGCAGGTACTCGGCGTGGAAGCAGATGGATTGCGTTCAGGCAGCAAGGATTCAAACACAGCTTTGGTTTTCCCAACACTGATACTGGTTGGGGCCCCGGAGTCCCTGGACCCTCGCCACTCAGAGGCAGGGGGAGTGGTTCACTGTGATTCTCACAGACCCTGGGCTTCTGTAGACATCCCGTCCATTCCCTCGGTCATGCCCAATTAGACTGTTCTTCTCCGGGTGAGACATTTCAAGTTAATTTTTACAAACCCCTGAAAAACTCAGACTTCACTCAGGGAGAAGTGAATGTCCTTGTGCCCTGCCAGCCAAGACCCCTTCTTGATTTTTCTTTCTTGCTTTCTTTGGTTTGAACAGAATAAGGCCCCGGCCGCAAGACAAAGATTTCATGATGGAAACAAGTGCATAGATAAGAAAGGCTTGCTAAGGG